AGTGACTACTAATGGGTATGAAGTTTCTTTTTGGAAGGATGATAATATTTTAAAATTGTGATGATGGTTGCACAAGTGTATATTTCAATAGTTAAAACCATTGACATATTTAAAACCATTTCAATAGTTAAAACCATTGAAATATACACTTTAAATTGTATTGTAAGCAAATATCTCAGTAAAGCTGTTATTAAAAAATACAAATTACCAAGCAGCACAAAAAAACCCCCTCCTAATTCATTGGTCTTCAACTAAATAAAAAATGTAAATTACTATATGATACCATATCTCGCACCAAATTTTGGAAATTAAATGTGTGTGTGTTAAATTTCAATGGTTTTAACTATTGAAATGAGATCTGTTCATAAACTGCAAAGAACTGTTCAAAGGCAATTAATTTCTATCATGAATACTTTGGTCTGCTTCTCAAGCTTGAATATTGTAAAAGATGTTTTAATTGTGAGTACAAAGCATGGAGAATTCAAGTTACAGATCTTTGAATTCATGTTATTGCCCAAAGAAGTAAAAAAATCTGTGTTTTACTCAAATGTACAATTTAAGAAAACAAAACAGGATTCAGTGAAAAGTGATCAACAATCTTCTTCCCACCCCTACTGGAGGACATTAAAAGCATCTATCTTTTATTCCCTTGGATGGCTGAATCAGGTAACAGCAGCTATTCCCCATTGACAGGAGGAGTCTGGTGTGTTCCAAATGTGTTGTGTGACATTTGTGCTGTAGTGGTCTCTTGGGGAAAACATAGCTGTCTCGTGCAGCAGCCTATACCTTCTATAAATTAGTTTCAATGTAAACATTATTTCACTGCAGCAGAAAATGGAGAACTCTTTTCAAGAGCTTCTATACATTGTAGAAGAGTGAAAACCATGTTGCAAAATGAGCTGCATTCCACATAGACAGATTAAGCCCTGAACCAACCCAACACACAACTTTAGAGAAATTTGAGGCTCAAAGTAAGTCTCATCTCAAATGCTTATCTTACTAAGTTAATGGGATGAGTGTATGGTTGTATTCTCTCCTACACAGGTTCAAAAGTAGGCTCTTGGCTTGGGTACTGGTGAGCTTGCATAAGCTTCGAAAAGACAAATACTTGGTATGTGTTGCCATGCCCCTTTCTCTTGACTGAATATAGTTATTGCTTATCCTAGACACTCTTTTGTACTGGATCTGAATATGGCTCAAGACTCTGTCAACACAGAGCTCTAAGTATCCATTACTAATCAATCAATGAACTCTATTTGTCATGCCTGATATAGCTATTCCAGGTTGAGTGTGTGTGTGTGCGTGTGTGTGTGTGTGTGTGTGTGTGTGTGTGTGTGTGTGTTACTCAGCTACTTAGAAGAACCTTTGAAGTATATCTTTATGTATGATTTGCCTTTCAGAATATAGGAACTACTAGTAGAAATAGACCCATAGTAACTCAATATAGGGGATCATTCTTCATCTAATTTGCTTTAAATACCTGAAGTATTTACTGTTGACTCTTTGGCCTTTACAAATATAAATACCCAGGCAGAGCTTTTAACATTATAGACTATTTACTGGAAATAATTTGGCATGTGCTATTATATCTTAATTAATAATATTCTTTACATTATGTCAATCCATTTAGTGCTCCTTCAAACCCTGTGCAGAAGGTACTATTAAAATACACAGTTGTCTTGTGCATCAGCCTATAATGTCTATTAATTAAGTTACAGTTGAGGAAACTGAGGAACAGAGCTATTAAGTAACTTTAATATTGATTTCATCTTGGTTAAAGTTTGTTACTGTGGTGCTCTTCTTGCATGTCCCCATACCCCTTTCCCCATGACATAAGGCTTGGCCTAAGTTAAGAAGCTAGTGTTCTAGTGTTAAATAAATCCTCCTCACCAGATTCCTGCTTTTGAAACAATGAACAAAACTTCTTTTCCAAAAAACAATAGCTGAAGGGAAAAACCTGACAGTTCTTTTGTCACAACTCTTCTTGCTAAGAATCCTTTCCAAGTGCCAACCTTACTTTCTTTGTTTCAAAAACATTTTAGAGTAATTCATAACTTAGAGCAACTATGCAAGCCCTGGAATTCCATGGTTGACTGTGTTATGCCTATAAATTTTCAAATTACTCAAGCGTTGTTAGTTCACAGAGGTGAAAATGTAAAATAAATAACAATGATAAACACTGGTAATTTTAAACCATAGCATAAACCTGAAAATTTCTTCCCCCAAATAGAAAATTATTTGTCTACATCCAAAGTGGAATCTAATAAGTAAAGATAGCCATGAAAATTGCTAAAACTGAACCAGTGCGGACAACTTTTTTTTTTAGCAGAGCAAAATAGAATCATTTATCAAAATGGAATTTTAATTAAATTGGAGATGAAAATTTTCTATCAAAATGGAAAATTTCAATTTCCTCTAACAAAGTCTAAATATATTTAACTGGTTATTTCCTCTACACGTACTCAATTAGACTAGTGATCAATATTGATGAAATATGGAAAATGCTTAGAATCATATCCTCAAACTCTTTATCAATTTAGGCATAAGGAAGCTAGAGGTTTGCATAGTTGCTCAGTTTTTAAAGGATGACATTCATTAATGTTTCTAAGAGAAACAAAATAGCATACTCCATATTATTTTGTATGCAACTGCCTTGCCATAATACTTCCCAAAGATTCAGTACCCATCAATAACCATTTAATATCATTAGAATTTTCTATATTCTTGGCATGTTATCAATAATGCAACTGTGAGAAATTTATCTGGTATTTCTAATGCGTTAGGGAGTTCTAAACAATAAATTTGAAAAATCTCATGAGTGCTCCCCAATTACCCATTGTGATTAAGCTCCATGGAAAAACAGCAGTAGAATAGTTTTTAATCTTAAAGATTTCTTAAATAGGCTCATTTTTCTTATGGAAATATTTCAAAAATCACAATGATTCATGAGAACCAAGAATTTTGGGTGGTTGTCATTGGAAGGGGTAACTTTTTAAAATAGCTTTGTTGAGGTATAATTGATATATATTAAATTGCACATACTTAAAGTGTACAACTTTAAAAGTTTTGACATATAGCAGGGCCTGGCCTGGGGCAGCCAGATAATGGGGGAGAAACCCCTTGACAGAAGCTATCCTCAGAATTCAAGATGATGACATGTCCATCATAATTTCTGAAGATATTAATAACATAAAATGTTGGTGATCATTATGTCCTCAGGGACATCTGGCACTAGTAGGCCATATTTATTGTCTATTGAATGAACACATTTTCTCTAATTTATTAAACATTAATGTATTGAACATCTTTTAGACATTAATGTACTAGCAGAACAAAGATTGGGCAAAATTTAGGCTTTTAAATTTTAGTATTTTTGAGGTGCATCTGAATAGTGCTGAAATTGGCTTGTGAATATAAAAATCGACAGGTATGAAATCCTCAATATGCTTATGATGGCTTAGTAGTCCCACAAAGCCTCACAGAGGGTCACCTCGTGCCCCATCTTTTCTAGAGAAGGAGCAGCAGACAAGACTATTCATGTACCCCTGTATGGACTGAATCTTATTTTTTCCCAACTGCTTTTCTTTATAGACAGACAACTTAGGAATCAATAAAGCACGAATCTTGTTTGAAAAGATGGGTCTAAATATGGGAATAATACATTACAAGGCAAGTCCTTTCTCTTCTCTGAGTTTTGGCTTATCTGTCAAATACGTTCCACCTTATCGGAGAGAGCTGTAAAGGGAGAAAAAAAAAGAGAAAGCAAAAGCAGCAAGCTTCCTGGAATGTCCAACTTCTCAAATAAAATAGCACAAGTAAATATAAGAATAGATATCTTATAATTTGTATGGCTTTGGCTCAGTACTTCTGAAAGAAAACATAGCTGCTTTTTATCCTGCCTATGACATCCTATTTGCCCTCAGTGCTGGAAGGGATCAGGTCTGGCAAGCTTTTTTTGGAGGCTCTTCTGATAGCTCTTTCCTGTAACTCCACTATTTTCAGTCCCGTTTGGGAACAACAATTTAAGGACGCAGCATTTAACCTCAAGGTTGCAGAGTCCCTTGTCTCTATCTGCCACCAACACCCATCTCCGCCCCTCCCCGTGCAGACCTACGTCCCCTCCACAGCTGATACTGGTCACCCCCAGAATTGTGGCCTTGAGACGTCCAGCTTCCTTTCTTAGACTTGGGTCCCAAGCCACCACTCCGGGCTCAACTTTATGAGTTGAAAGGGCGGATTGCCTAATCAGTCACACTCCAGCTGGGGGCTGCTTCTACCTGCGCATCCTGTGCTTTGATTCCTCCCCAAATGAGAGGAAGATTCAGGTGGATTTGGCACATGCCCTCAGCGGGGTCTGCCATCAGCAGGCCGGAGGCTGACGTGTGCTGAGGAGGACTCGAAGCAGGCCATTTTCACCTGCGTAATAACAGGCTAGAGGCTGACGTGTGTTGAAGAGGACTCGGCCGAAGCAGGCCATTTTCACCTGCGTAATAACAGGCTTGGGAGTAGCGAGGCAGCCTCCGCGGCGGTGCCTGGAGTGGGAGGAGGAGCGCAGGCGGTGGGGCCCAGAGGAAGAGGAGGGGGAGGAGGAGGAGCTGACGCGAGGAGAGCGGCAGCAGCTCGGCCGGAGTTGCAGCAGCGGCGGCGGCGGTGCTGACACCGCAGCCTCCCCAAGTCCCGAGTCCCGGCGGGGGCAGCAGCAGGGGGCGCCCGCCCGGCCGCCC